CACTTAAGCTGATCTTCCCTGGTTAGCAGCCCACTACCTACCCTTTGGGTCAACCATACTCGCAAGTGAGCCTTTGGAATAGGGGCCTCCCTCTGCTCCTTTAAAGTCTTAGCTACACTGCGGCCTCTTCTATCAACCCAGTCCTCATACTCCTTTAGTAGCTTAAGGCCGGCTTCCCTTGGTATCAATGGGCAACCCCGGACCACGGTAACACTTAAAGGCTCACCCTTGCGGCGCCTGACAACACACCCTTTCTTGGTCCAATTTAAGGAAAATCCTAGACAAACCAAGTAGGCCGCGGGAATAATCATTTGGCAGGGAGAAGTGCTTAAGAGAGTTCCAAACCTATCGATATGAAGGTTAGTAACCCCACTAGCTAGGTCTACACTGATCTCTCGAGCCCCTGCTATTTCTGTTCCCTCTGCTGGCCGAAGAGCATTCGTCGGCCCACTATCTATTAAAGCAAATTGCGGATCTGACGCATGGGCAACAGCGCTCATGAGCCACCCTTTGTCGATACCCAGTTCATCAAGGACGTCCACGGAACCCACTGCAGGATTGATTTCTAAGTGCTTGATACTCACATTCTTCAGAAGTTTAGCCGCCTCCGCAATTAGCGCATCCTGTGCAGTAGTGGAAACTCCCGAAGAACCTGAACTCTCTGCAGCTGACCCTGCAAGCCCACTTTCATCAATTATGCCCTTTGCGTGGGGAGAGGCCTTAGGCTTGTTAGATGTTCCGGGAGCCTTCGCAGTCGCCTTTGGAGAAGTAGGGTTGCTAGTGTTTGACAACACCTGACGATTTTCGGGAGCGACCAAGGGGCACTCGGGCCTGTAATGACCTTCCTGGCCACAAGCAAGACATCGTTTCTGTTTTCGGGCCTGGGCTCGGTCATGCTTAAAATGGCACGAATCCCCAAATTTACAACCTCTTCCTTCATTATAAAGTTATGGCAGGGATTGGCTTCGCCTGTCTTCCCCTTTCCCTTACCCTTACCCTTATCCCCTTTTTCCTGCCCTCCGAGCGCCTTCACGCCAGGAGGGGCAGGGGGTTCACCAGGCTTGGTTGGAGGGGTTGCCTTGATAGGAGGTTGATCAGGCGAAGACTCAGCACGTGTAGCCGCTGCTCGGGCCGACTGCTAAGAGACGAAGCCTCACATTCAGCTTGGAGTAACCTTACTAGCTGAACAATTGATGGAACAGTGGGATTATAATCCAAGGCAACCTTATGCCTAAAGGCATTGACCCTGAACCCCAAAGAGTGGTGCTGCCCTAACAGCGACGCAGTGGCCTTGTCTATTCCAGCAAGAAGAAGAGAAGGGTCCGGCATGGATGCTCCCAGCTCCCTCACACGGTAAAAACTCTGATGCCATTTTCTTAACATGACCACTGAAGACTTTACTGTAATTACGGTCTCAGGTAAGGTGAGCTGACTTAGCAGCATGGACCTCTCAGAGGCTCCTCCTGGCTGGTACACACACTGCAAGCGGAACAGCAAAGCAGCTGAAGACAACCATCGATTTGAAACCGCTTCATCCCTTAGATGTTGAGGAATTGCCGCTAGGATAAGGCCCTTGACTCCACCCTTTGAAACCGACCCTCATCAAAGATGGCCACCACCCCACTAGGATCCAAACTCAACCGGTCTAGGGGGTCCGCTATCAACCATCTCTGGTAATGCCTATTAGCAGCCATCTCTACAGCTTGCCACCATACCACCGCAGTAGGGGAAAGCCCTGCGAATATCTGACGGAGTTGCGCCAGCCAATTGCCACACGCCACCGCCGAGGTGGAGATATCCAAAGAAGGAAGCTTGGGAATTTCATTTATGTACTTAGCCGGTTCCTCGGGTTTTCCATCTACCTTTGAAGACGGGTCCCCTTGGCTGGGAGTATACTGGGCCATTGTCGTTACAGGAGGGGGTCCTACACCTTCCAATGCTGGCATGACTACACTAGGGACCGGCAAGGGAGGAGGCTTGATTATGGTACCTCCAGGAGACACAGGGTATCCATCCACACTCAAACCCCACTTGCCCGTACTGCTATTGTTGGGAGTCTGAAAATCCCCACTACCTACAGATCTGGGCCCCGAAACCTCTTGATACCGCACATTCCCCGATACCCCAGGTACTGCTTTGCTGATAGGGATGGTTGGGACGTTAAGGATTGAAGGGTAACAAGGAACTGGCGGAGGACTAGCAATAGGAATGGGAGGAACCTCTTGAGGCTTCAGTGGAACCTCACCCATACGATCCTGAAGCATCCTTTCAGAAGCCCTTACATCGGACAGGTGACGCTCCAATCCCCTTTGGCTGTCTATAACTCCATACCTATTCCCATACAAACTACCACCAACCATAGAACCCAACAACCCTTGGCCCTGTTCGGAAACCCTAGCATGGGCGGCCTGCTCGGCAAACTGTACACCACTGGCTGGTACTGCATTTACACTTAGATTTCCAGGCTGTACACTGCTCATGCCACCAAGCGGCCCCGGCTGTCCTGTAAACGGACTGGCTCCAAACTCAGTAAACGGCACGACCTGACCAACTTGGGGTCCAGATGTTGATTGCCCAGGTTGGGCGCTCACATGCTGATGCACAAGCGATACAGGAGAACCTTGGGGGATCTGCTCATTCTCTAGAGGCGTTGTAGGGGTTCGCCCACTATGCCAACTAGATTGCGACTCCATCTGCTCAATCCTAAGTTTCAACAGCTGGTTCTCCTGCAAGGCTTGAATCAACAGAGCCTCAGTGCTTCCAGTACCGATTCCCAGTGCCGGGACGAGCTCTCGCGTATCTCCAGGCGAAGGTCTATCACTCAGGTTTCCTTTCCAAAGCGCAGACTCCGCAGGACGAGTTACCAAACCCGCTGCACTCAATCTCGACCGTTCACTCAATGCATCCCCAGCGGCAGTAGTTGCTCCTTGAGGTGTCGGAGGTTGTGCCACAAAAGCCACTTCAGACGCTGGAGTAGCCATCGTGTCCGGCCTAACACCACCTTCAGCAGTGCTCACCGTATTCCCAACTTCGTTCGCCCTTTGCAAAACTTCTGGAGAATGTTCTATTCTTGCGACTCTCACGGGTACAGCCCCGGATGATATCTCCCTTTCATACGGTGGTTCTCTCGATCGAAGTCCAGAAAACTCTTCGCCCAATCCAACTTCCTCTAATGGGACTCCAACGCGCTGCGCATCTTGATCCAGAGTTGGCGGACGTCTCCGAAGGAGCTCTACCTCCGTTTGTACCCTCTCAGAGTGAAAAGGACTAGCCACCGGCCTTGTAACACCACCTTGCTCCATGGTGCCCGGAGATGCATCCCCTCTAGGAACCATCCCACTTGCCAGTGCTGTATCCTCATTATTGAAAGTCTGGCCCAAGGCTGTTTCATAATCTCTTTCCGTTGCTCCAGCATCCATAGCAGAATCACGAGCCACTCCAACTGGCCCACGGTTTCGCATCATGCGATCCATGGCTTCAGGCGAAATGTCCCCCGACCCTTCTGTCATTATCTAGCCTATGAACAACTTAACTATGGTCCCAGCCCAATAGACTCCTGGAGCCTACGGCTGATAACCTATGTGGTTACCAGTATTAAGATATGGGGACCCAGTTAGGGGGGTCAAACAACCCAACTCTAGAGATACCTACAGAACCCCTAAACCCTAGGATCTACCCTAAACCAAAGCGCCTGGTCCTTTTTTCTCGACGAAAAAAACAGCCTTCGGTAGCAGCACGTGTCGGTTCCTTGCGCAAGGGCCATGCTAATCTTCTCTGTTTCAGTGTCCAAGCTCACGCATTTAAGGCTTTAGGGTTCAGGATTTAAGGTTTTAGGGGATCTACTACTTGAAGCTAATCTGTGCGGTGTCTCAAGTGAAACGACTGGGGGCTCAAAACAGCAGGTGGCTCCGGTACATACAGTCCTGTAACGGGCCCTGCAAAAACATGTACAGCTAATCCGGTACGGCCGGCACTGTCTTCTCTACAGGGGCCTCAGACACCTCACAGGTATGTACACTACAGCTCTTGGCAGCGAGCGGTGCGACTGCGGCATGACTCATCGCAGGCCAGGTGACGGGGCAGGGAAAGAGCGGAGGCCAAGGAAAGGAATGCACAGTGAGGCAGTGTGTGTGATGAGGGGCGGCACGCCGCTAGGGCTCAGCAAGCACGGCATGGTCTTCAAGCCCAGAGGGCAGCCGCCGCAGGACTGCCCGGGCATTCTCGCGTTGGAGCGCGATTGCCAAGCTTTGCAGGAGACGGTCAGTTTCAGCGCCAGGGGTGTCCCCTGTCCTGGCGGCTATGAGCCCCCCAAGGGCGCGCCAAGTGTCGGCTGCGGTGGGGCCCCACCCGCCGCTGGGTTTAGGGTGGATGGCCTTTTCTTCAGTGCCAGCCGAAGCTAAGGGAGCTTATCTGGATGCTGGTCCGCTGTCACAGATATCCGAAAATGATTTAGGTTTTTAGGGCTTAGGGTGGATGGCCGGGGTGATGGCGCAGGGCTCAGGATATCTCAGAACCCCTCAGCAGGCTGCACATGAGTCCGCAGGCTTGCGGATTAAGGGTGTTTTTTCTGACTAGCCATGCAATCAACGACTGGCCACGCAAACCACGCAACAACATAATCCTGCACCACCCTGAGTGCTAGAACGGGTCATACAGGATTTGTCCTTCAACCCTACGAACCCTAAGCCTAGACATTGAACCTTGACCCTGCAACCCATTGATTGTCACTACACTAACGAGGCATATCCTGCAATCACAAACAAAGGTTGCCATCCCCATGTACTTTTGAGAAAGCCCCGGCAATCCCCATGTAATCTGCCCATGGGCTTATGAATTGGAACACACCCGAGGACACGAGTCCACCTTCGATATTAGGGTCCGTAGGGCCAACTGGAATGCAGCGCTTCAATTGTATCGGGAGTAGCGCTCAGGGTTCAATCCGATCATCACGGAACACGCGACCCCTTCTCAATCCAAACCACAAAGACATTGCGGGCCACTCTTTGTCATCGGAGTTCCTGGCAGCAAGTGAGGTCATGCAATGCCCTTCCAGACGGCACTGAGACAAACAACATCTTGCGCTGGCATGAGCTACCCAAAAAAGTAGGTTGAAGATTGGATGGCATTAGCGAACGGGGTTACACCACAATACAAACTACCACAGCGCTGCCGCTGCCCGAACGCAACAATCTTGACAATGAAGTCGCAGTAATAGTATTCAGTCGCCGCGCTCGAAACGCCCCTTCCGTCAGCGGGCCTCCCTTTCCAGTCTTCTACTAACAGGCCATTCTCGGGCTGCAGCCAGAATGACCTCCTGCCAGGCTCTTTACTCAAAGGGCTAATTAATGACCACTGCTTCATTTTATGGGGTTAGGATAATGCGATTACGGATAGCTTCAGAGCGTCCCCGGTTGGATTGTTTCTCATTGAAAGTAACTGTTGGGCCCCCGTTTGCAGTTTCAGCTTTTGAGAAGGGATGGATGCAGTAGCCTTTTTTCCTTTATGTCGTTTTGCCTTTTGAGGTCCGTCAAGGTCTCGCTTCCACTTCTCTCTACACAAATGTATATTGCCATAGTCTCAGTCCTAACAATATCCGTAGCCGACATCATCATTGCAAAGCAAATAAGAGCGGTGAGCCGTGAAAACAAAGCAAGTACAAGAGAACTCAGCAGAACACAAATCTTTTTAACGCTTCTCTGAAACCCAACCCCATACTCGAAACCCTAAACCCTTGACTATGATGTGTCTTCCTGGCGTTGTCGACCAGCACTACCCGGGAGAGATCGGTGCCGAGCTTGGTCAAGTCCTGTGCATCGATATTGGACCCCCCAAGATGTCGGTACAATCACATCTTGGGACCTAGCGCTTGGGGTCAGGGATTTATGTTGACGGCTTGGGAGGAGTGACCTAAACCAACTTCAAACGACATCTTGTCCGCCAATTTCGTATGATACGCAGGGCACGTTTTGCACGCAGATTTGTTTGGGGCATTCAACGTGGGACATGCCACCACGGCCCCATTGTGAAAACGTCCTTCGTGATGGGCAAGCCAAAGGGCACACACCTCGGTGTTGGTGGGAGATCAGCTGGGCATCATCTGGGTTTGTTTCTGGGTTGCTGATCAGGTTTTTGGAATGAGGGTCCATAAACCCCTCAGGACCCTGAGTTCAGGGATCCGAATCGCCCAACATCACAAGTATCCTTCGGCAACTTTATCTCATCTTATACACTAAGCGTGTGGGTTTTACACGCTTCGCATCGAAAAGCAAAACCGACTAACTTGAAAACCCTCGAGCATAATCAGTGAGCTTCCCAAAATTCAGCTGCCCTCGGCGAATTCTGCATAAAATGAGGATTCTGGGGGCTCTCATTTCGAGCAACACCGCCCCAGCCCTTGACCATATACCCAAACGCAACTCTGAAACCCTCAGGGCCTGAACCTCCTGAACCTGAAACCTGGTCAACCTATACCTTTGTACATATCTACAAGGAATAGCAAACCATATTCTTCCCTTCTAAAGTCCTGTACCATGTTTACCAATTCCAAATCTGTCCTCCAAAGATCCGGAGCTTCTTTTCAGGCACAGGAGCTCGTCGCGGAAGAGCGCCGGGACATCGCCCAGGCCCAGCTTGGCCACGCTTTGGCTTGCATAGGCCTGACGCTCCGTCTTTTGTTGTGCATGCACCTCTTTTACGCCTGCAATCAGGGACTCTTTTTTGTTTTCATAACGTTTCCTTTTACGCCTGCAGTCAGGGGTTTAGGGTTTAGGAGTTGCTTCGTATTCTTGGGGTGGTTGTTGGTTTAGGGTTTAGGATGTTGACTGATGCGGGTTGGATTTAGCGCTCAGGATTCGGGAGTTCGGATTGAGATGTCTAGGATATAGGGCTCTGGATTGTGTCAGGTTGAGAATTGCATTTAGGACTGTAGAGGTCATGACTTATGAGACATGTGGCCCATGCTCAACTGCACCTGGCCTGTGTTCCCGCGGTGTAGACCTTGAAGCAACGACACTTTTTCGGGGAGCTGCTCTGGGCGAAGTGGGCAAACAGGAGCCAGATGTAGGGCTGACCAATCTAAGGGTCCAAACCAAGAGCAGAAGGTTGTAACATTATGATGCTACAGTTCTACATGGATTTTGCAAAAGCAAAATTGGTAATTATTCAGGCTTCTACATGAAATTCTTGGTGTTGTTGCCGCAGCCACGAGCTCGCAGGCCCTGATTTTGCTAGCTTTAGTGGTCCTAACGGCATTAGTTTGATCACGCCTACAGTAGTAGCAACAAGCGTTGCAGTATGTTGTAGTGCTAGCGGCGCAGCCATTGTGACTGCCACTGCAGCTACAGCTGCCACAAATCTATCCACCAGACCATAACTATGATGACGATGACTATAGCTGCTAATAGTACTGCACTTCTGATGCACAGTTACTCCCCAACGCCATCACCACCATCACCATTGCCAACGCAACCGCCGCCGTCGCCGCCACAGCCGCTACCGCCGCCACCGCCACTGCCAGTGCCAAGGCCACCGCCACCCCCACATCAATTTCTACTTTCTACTTCTGAACACCACGTCCAATCACTCTCACTGCAGCGGTGTGGAATTGTGGGCCCCGGCTGCAATGTCGATGTCAGGCTGGCTTTTGAGCCAGGCGATGAATCTCTGGGCTCCTATGGCTTTGCCCACATGCAGTTGCTCGAAAATGGGGGTGCCTCCTTCAGAGGGTTGGCCTTGGGCTGTACGCTTTTAGGGGTTGGCTTTGGGCTGTAGGCTTTTGGGTTTTGGGTCCTTCGTGGAGTGGTGGCGTGCCTGTACTATTCCCTTAGGACTGCTGATTTGAGGGTTCTGCTGGTTGTGATGACTACCTGCGAATGTCCCTCTTTACCGTTTGATAGGCAACGGCTGTACACGGAACCCGAAGCCCGAAACCCTAAAACTTCATGCGTGCTGGATGTCTCCATACCAAGCCTTAAACCCTAACCAAGCTTCAAAATTGATCTCAAACCCGGCCTTATGGAAAACAAGGATTGTATCACGCATTATCACGCTGCAGGCCTCTTCAAGATGGGGAGGCGGGTAGTGGTATCAGTATTCAGTATTCCTTCATGTTCTGAGCAAGTTATCCCCCTACACCCCTAACTTTAAACTCTAAACCCTAAATCCTAAACCCTACACCCCTAGCCTCAAAAAGCATACACCTTCGAGGGCAGGTCCTGGTCGAAAGGACACGAAGAGAGGCACCTCTTCGCCCAGCCTCTTGTCGCGAATTTCGGAAACTCCCCCAGTAGAGTACTTTCCATTTTATTTTCTATTATCCCAATAGAGCCTATTACCACCATAAGATGCCTATATATTCCCTTTATTACCCCTATATGGGGGGGGGGCAGAGAGCATATAACCCCAACAACCCAAATTGGGGTGGTCAGCTCCGAGAGCTATGAGGATGTAAGGTTTGAGGTTATATTGGGGTTATGTTGGGATTATATTGGGTTACATTGGGCTTAGATTGGGATTATGGAAAATGACACGGAAACTACTATAGTGGGGGGGAGTTTCTCAGACTCCCGGGGCCAGATGTATCATTGCAAAGGCACCGGAACTTGAAAGCTAAGATTCAGGCCCCAGGATCAATCCTTTGCCGCTTGCCTCGGCGAATCAGAGTGTGCAAAAAGGCAGGCACCAGCAAACTCCCTAAAGCCTGAGCTACTGCGCACCTCAACTACCTTACCGAAGCCTTCAAGCCTTAAAGCCCCGATAGACTGCAGTGGACAGGGCACCTGAAAGTCGACTTGCGGCTGCCACACGCGAGATGGAAGCCTGCCGCGAATCCATGCATTCTCCAAAAACTCCTCATCTCTAGAAGCTCCCTTTACACCCTCCCTACATGATGCCCAAACCCTTCTAGAAGCACTACAGAATACGATGATACCTATGACTCGCGCGGACTTCCTGTACGCAGGCTCTGTAAATCTAAGATGTCAGCGGTACCGATTCAAGGCTTCCGGTGGCAGATCGAGTGCCGCATCGCACAACGATGCGTGCAGCAGCGTTTCGTCCTGCACAATATGCCGCGGCAACAGCAAAAGCTAGTGCTCTCCGGTCGAGTCGTCTCACAGGGGCGGCACTGTTTGAAGGTTGGGAAGTGGTGTTGGCACCAGGAGAAGCAGCAGCTCCAGCAGTAGTGGCATTGGCAAGCAGGAAAGTTGACAGGCAACAGGATGGTAGTTTCCATTGTCTATTCCATTCCGTTCACCTGTATATCCTATATGATGATTTATACACTCGCCTAATCCCCATATAACCCTTATACGTTGTTTGTATTACAACCTCTATAGAAAGCCAGTCCAGATCAAGAACCACCAGCAGACGCGGCTTTGGCGTACTCAGGAAGCTCAGGAACACTGGTGCCGTGGAGACCTCAGAGTATTCGATGTAACAGGCTTTGGATTTGTCGTTATGTTAAGCCTGTATGTTACCATGTGACATCACCCCCTCTCCACCCAGCAGAGGACTGAGCAGGGCACTGAAAGAGCACCAAGGATAGCCCAAAGCCGCAACTTTAGGCGTCTGGGCATCTGATTATGCATGATTGCCTCAAAGTTGGATCGTGCTTTTGGGATGATATATGTGGGTCCTCTAAGAAGCACACTAATTTCTGGTAGTTTTTTGTTGGGGTTCTGGGTTGTCTTCATCTGGTGTGATGCTGACCCCGGTGATCCTCTGACTTTGTTGGCCGCCTTGGTTTGTTTTAATGCCACACATGTTTGCTGTGTGAGTCACGCCGGCCTTCGTTCTCGAAGCATGCTGGGTGGCCTTGAGCCAAAACAGCAACAAGCTGAACCCAGAGGTCGGGCATGGAATCGAGAGAGCCGTCAGCATCATCTAAAAACATTCCTTGTTGACTCGGATCAATTTGCAGTTCACTACTGTACCGAAGATGGTTCGTCAGTTTAGCCCCAAACCAACCAGAATTGCCCTAGAAAGGGAAGGAGAAGGAAACAGTAATAGATGATCATTGAATGACACTGCTCGCCAACCTACCCTTCCTTTGACCTTCGTAAGCCCCAACCCACAAAGCCCTCCACCCTAAACCCACCCGCTAACCCACGCCATCCCAACCTTCAAGGTCGATCCCAAGGAGTTCGGCCTCGTGACGGACCTAGGCATTTTGGCGGGAAAAAACCGACTGGAGCATAAGCGGATGGGGTACAAGCTCTCTTGGAATCCTTACAAGGCCATTTGAGCCTTGTTCTCTCAAAGGCTTTCCTTGCAGAAGCACGGCGCAAACGAGATCCCTGGATCTGAAGCAAAGTTACATGCATGAGCATAAGCTTTCAAGATTCCGCTTCAGGAATCTAAGCTGTGTCTGACAGATCGAAGTGGCCCATACACACAAAAAAAAACATGATCCGTATGGGACCCCAAAACATTGAAAGACACAACGAATCTTTAGGGATTCAATATTTGGTAGTTTACCAAAATAAGGGGACCCCAATATAGACCCCAATATACTATAGTCCTTATTGTAAGGACCCCCAAAAAGGTTCCCCTAATTTTGGGAAACCCCCATTTTGAAGCTGGAGGACGGCTGATGCCCTGAGCAAGTTGCCTGCGCGAGGAGCTCCGCATCACCGCACTCCTCTGCAAACTCGAGCCTTGAAGCAAAGGCAAACCCTGTTCGGAATGAGGCTTCACGGCTTTTTGGGCGGGGGCGGCATGGCGTCTGGAGTTTTATGGGAGCGCTTCTAGAAGGTGGGTGAAAAGCAAGCAGCTAGTTGCATGCACTCATCTAAAAACAAGGTATACGCCATGTCTCAACAGCTCGTACATTCTCGTAGCCCGGCAGTTGTTTACCACCCACTCTGGCACCTCTGCTCCACATCATGGCGCTTCTCGAGACTGCGCAGCAGCTCGTGTTCCCGCCTGGGCGCATGCAGGGCTCGGGTTTAGAGGTTGGGCTTAGGCTTAGGGCCTTATGGTTTGAAGTTCAGAGCTCAGGGTTCTCGAAACTGTACTGCCTTTTTTGTGGGTGGCCTGCGTAGTGGCGGCAGATCACTGCAGGAA